CATCCGTTTCTCGATACGTTGAATGTACTCCTCTAAACGTGTTTTCTGAGGCTTGATACCCTCTTCATCCGATGTTTGCTCATCCACATCTGCCTCAGGCTCTGTGTCAGAGAAATAGTCAGGTAGTGTGGAATGCCGGCGACGGCGCTGAAAACACTGCTGACGATGCTGGAGAATCTCATATTTATATAATGCTGGCTGAAGCATCCGGCTACACGCTGATATAGACCATGTCTCAACAGGGCCCGTAATTGGGTTGAATGGATTCTTAATCCGCTTCTGAATCTCAAATATTACTCGAGACGGTTGGCGCCCCGACAGACGTGGCGTTCAGGTTGGAGAATTCCACTGAGTGCGTAGCTCGGTCAGATGCTGATACAGCTCGCTATCAGAGAGATGAAGAAGGCGTTGCTCCGGTTGAATAGTATAGTTCAGATGGGAGAGGCAGGGTCGAGATGGGCCCTAATGATCGAGTGGAGGCCGGAATCGGGCCTGAAGCGCGTTTTCTAGACTGGGCCAGCACAGCGGGACCTCACCCGCCAGTGCGGCGGTAGCTAACTCCTTATTCAGAAGTGGCTTAATCTGAGCAAAGACATCCTTGCGGAAGGCGCGTAAACAGAGCCGATGAAGATATTTCTGAAGATATTCTTGACAAGTTAGAATACTGCTGAACTCGGTCATCCACTGATGGATCTGGCTGATCTGAATAAAGTCCACTCGGACATCCTGAACTTGGGAGTAGCGGGCGTGATACGCGGCTTGCAGCGAGGGATTATTAAATTGTATGTACTGCGCGGCGGGCTGGTGGAACACCATCATCTCCCAGTCGATCTTGTCGAGAAACCAGCCGTATCTGGATTGCTGCATATTCCGCTGAAACCCTAGCCCCTCGCAGCGGCGAAGGCCGTCGGGCTAGGTTGGATCTGGGTGAAACCAGACATCTCGCCAGCAGCCTGATACCTGCTTGAGAAGACCCCCCAAGTAAGAGAATGGGAGACAGCGAAGGAACATCAACATTATCTGCGTATGTTCCCAGGTCATAAAATGCCAGTCATTGAGGCTGTAGACCATCTTAAAGCCCATACAGAACTTATTGATATTCCATCAGAACCATTGAAGGAGCGTAGAGGTTGGAAGGGCATAGAAACTCTCTGCGGAATCAGGAATGCTTGGAAATGGGGTTGTGAACTGTCCCCGGTCCTGGAATTCTCGCATGATTTGATCAAATAGCGTCTGAGACACGCGGTGCTCTTCCCGCAGGCTAAAGACCTTCTGGATTGAGCCTTGAAGGGCGGAATGACACCGTTGCTTCGTGGTCAGGTAGGCGCGATTCAGAGCAATGGGATTGTGGCTCAGACCGCCCCCGACAGTTTGCCAGGTCTTTCGGAGCTTTGGATTGAGCGCCAGGGTCTCCAACCTGGAGTTGGTAAAAGGATAGATATTGCCTGCGGTAAAGACCTCTTTCACGCTGGCGTAGAATTGGCTGTAGAAAAGACCAGCTTGCCAGTGCGGCGATGATCGCCTGGTTTCCAAGGTGAGGCTGCCTGTATCCTCAAGCATGCTGATTGGGTAGAATCGCTGAAGGGCATGGGGAGCATCCGGCGGCTGTTTGCTATGAATCCACTAGCTATAGGCATCTAGGCAGCATTGCCGCCAGAGCAACGTCTGTGGCTGGCTCTCAGAGGGCTCGAATACAGCCGTCGGGCATGTTTCCTTTCCAATATCATAGAAGAACGGCTCTGAGAGATAGGTCTTGTGGATGGCATTCTGCCAGTGCTGTTGGAAGCCCTCGATCAGATCAGCCAATGTATGCGCCTTGGTCAGGGTCTTCAGGTTCTTCCCCTTGATCAGGATCTTCAGGTCCTGGAACTGATGGAAGCCTGGGCGTCGGGTCACCTCGAGAATCTGTTCCCAGACGGTGGTGAGCGCCTCGGGAGGAAGAAAGTAAAAGAGAAGCTGCTCATGTGCGACTGGATCAACTCGCTGTGACCACATTTCCACGCCATGGGCGGTCGCGTTGAGCTAACTGTGATCAAAGCTAGACAGGTAGTGTTGGATAAGATCGCCCGAATGACGCAATTGATAATTAGGAGGAGAATATTGTCCGTCCATTACTTGAAATCCTGGTCTAACAGACGGCTGGATTGCTGATTTTCACGGTATAGTCAGGGAAAGAGCCGATATAGAGAAATATCCTCGAACCCGATTAGGCGGCCAAAGGTATAGTGCGGGACTTGATGGACAGGTCGGCGAACAGTATGGGCCTGCCCATTCGGGTCGAGATACTGCACCGATATCGGATTCAAATGTAGGCCTGACTGGAGATCAGAGACAGGCCTCGCTCTGCAAGCCTGTCAGCGCCGGGGGCCTGATAATAATTATTGAACTGAATCTCTCTTTTTGCTGCAGCAACTTTCCTCCTCTGGACTTTTT